AAGGAGTCTGGTGGCACCTTAAAGACTAAATAAATCGGTTAGTCTTTAAGGTGCCACCAGACTCCTTGTTGTTTTTGTATTCCAGGGATACTCTATCTAGACCATTTGAATGAAGGAAGGCTAAAATTGATGAGTGGATATTTGCAAATTCCTTTCACTGACATCAGAAACGGGCTTAAAAGCCTAAATAAATAAATAAATAAATTGGCTGTGTGTTCAGGATTCCAATTCCCCAAAGTCAGTGACATTTGGATCTAGTTTTGGTTCAGGAAATTGGGGTTTTGCAAAATTAGAATCCAGGTTTGGATTTTGAATGCCTCAAAGTTCCAAAGTGTCACAAACTCCTGTGATTGCGTCGTGAGTCTCATGATATTTGCTGTTTGTCTTAAACACCCAGCTCCTGGAGACATGCAAATATGCGAGACTCTTTTTAAAATGTTAAGTTTTTAGCATTTGTGATGGCAGAGAAAAGCTTGAAAATGTGAGGCCTAAAAGCTCAGAAACCAGAAGGCAAATAAAAAGACTCCAACATGTATTATCGTTTTTAAAACTCATGAGTTTTTGGGGCCTGAGTCATGATTTTTGAACACCTGGGATCAGTAATACTGGGGTCGAGAGGATCCAGGGATTTCTCCCTTAATCACAAGTCAGGGGAGCGATCTTCCCACAAAAGGGGAGGGCCAGGAAGCAGGAGATTGTAGGGGCTTAAGGCTCAAATCGACAAAGGTATTTAGGCTCCTTAGTACCATTGATTTCAATGAGAAAGACAAGGTAGGTGAGGTAATATCTTTTATTGGACTAACCCAGACCTGAAGAAGAGCTATGGACTGATTTCAATGGAACTTAGGAACCAAAATGCTTTTGTGGGTCTAGAATGTTGGGAATTCATTAGAGAGATTGTGTAATTAATGTGGAAGTGTTGTGCAGAGCAAGTCAGTAGACTGTGGAATCAGTAATTAGACAGAGATGGCTACAGTGGTTTGGGCCTGTTATCAGGTTACCCTGGGGCAAAAGCTCCAAGTACATCTTCGATTGGATCCCATCTGGAGGGAAGAGAAGGCATGGTGGACACAGGATGACCTATCAAGAAGGATGCTGCTGTCATGGAAACAATTTATGATGGAGTCAGACATCTTGCTCCGGACAGACAGCAGTGGGAGAAATGGGTTGCCTCCTGTGCCTGTAGGCACAGGAAACTCTAAGGCCTGGTCTACACCTGAAACTTAAGTCGACCTAGCTACATTGCTCAGGGCTGTGAAGCATCTCACGCCCTGTGCGGCACAGATAGGTTGACCTAAAACAATTGTATATGCAACTAGGTTAATGGAAGAATTCTTCCATTGATCTAACTACCACCTCTCAGGGGTGGATATACTACAGCAATGGAAAAACTCCTTTTCCATCGCCGTAGTGTCTACACTACAGCGCTACAGCAGTGCAGCTGCAGCTGTGACACTGTAGTGCCGGTAACCCTCGCTCCCCGTTGTAGCGCCGGCAGTGTAGACGCACCCTCAGTAACCCTCGCTCCCCGCTGTACCGCTGGTGCAGTGTAGACGCACCCTCAGTAACCCTCGCTCCCCGCTGTAGCGCAGGTGCAGTGTAGACGCACCCTCAGTAACCCTCGCTCCCCGTTGTAGCGCCAGCAGTGTAGACGCACCCTCAGTAACCCTCGCTCCCCATTGCAACGCAGGTGCAGTGTAGACGCATCCTCAGTAACCCTCGCTCTCCGCTGTAGCGCCGGCAGTGGAGACACCCTCAGTAACCCTCGCTCCCCGCTGTAGCGCTGGCAGTGTAGACACACCCTCCTCTTTACTCCCCTTATGCTCCCCCCAGCCCTGTCTCCTTGTCAGGGAGGCTCCCCGTACCAGGGATGGATTTGGAGGCTTCCCCCTATGACAAGGGGGGAGGGAGGATCTGGCTCAGTGCCCCCCCTGGGCGGCGACTCCCCTTAATCCGGGGGTGGGGGTGGAGATGAGAGGGCCCTGGAGCGCCCTGCGTGGGGGTCCGGAACGGTAGTTCCCCGGCTCCGTGTTTCCCGCCTCGGCGGGGGGAAGACTACACAGACGGGACCAAGATGGCGGCGCCCAGCGCTGCTGCCCCGGAGAGCGAGGAGGGGCCCGGGGGTAAACCGAAGTCCCCAGCCGTCACCCCGCAGAAGATCCGGGAGCTGATAGACGGGGGCATCGCCCCGGAGGAGCCCGGCCTGGAGGGGTGAGCGGGGATCTGGGGGGGGGGT